GTGAAATGGAAAATATTAAAGAAAGAGCTTTGTTTTAGCTGTTTTGTGAGATTGGCTCACCTATTTCAGTGAGTACTATAACCTCTTAAGATGCTGCCTTAAAGGTTTCAAAAAATGGCCTTAATGCTGGTTAAGCATGCAGTCTTGGCCCAGACAACAAAGCAGAGACATGTGATGGGCTTTCACTGGAGAAGACAGAAAAAGCAGGAACTTCCCAGTTCTGCCTGTCCCCCTCTTCTTTTCCCCTCTCCAATGGCTGACATATGGTATATATTTCCAGCCTGCTTCAGTGCCTAATGAAATGGAGTAACTCAGAGCCCAGGTACTTCTGTGAATCTGTTTACCCTAACTGTTTCAATCTGCACAGTAATGCAACAGCAGCTAAGGATAGTATTGACCAGCTGGGAGAAGCAGCCTCTTAAATCACTAAAGCTAGCTCTACAGGACCATGGCTGTCTATAGCCTTTCTTCAAGAAAGGCAAGCAGGAATAAGATAATAGACAAAACATAGAAGGGAAGGTGTTCAGGAGGGAGAGGAAGCAGATCCCATTACTATTCAACACATCCACAGTTGGCAGGAATAGGGATTTATCTATCTTTCTTTTTTGCCCAATCAATGCCCAGCTATATCACAGAATACTCCTGGATTCCTGGACTCATGACAGTGAACTTCATGCTGTCCTTTAAACCATGACACCTTTCCTTTCTGCATTTAAGTACTGTTCAAGAAGGCAACAGCCACCATGTTATTAACATACCTTGTGAAAACTTTTCTTGATTATTTTAACTGTATTTCCTACTTTTTTTTTTTTTGCACATTATTTCTAAAGACACATTAAGTATTTTTAACTAGGATTTATTTCTTACATTCTGTTTCTGCCATATTTACCTTCAACTTTAGTTAACTTCCATAAGCTATTGTGAATAATAGAAAGAATTGTAGTTGTGTTACTTTGAACAACAGTAAGCTTAAGCTTAGTGTCTTTGCATAAGAGTGCCCAGTAAACTAGCCATCTTATAGCTGTGAACAGTAATTATTGATGCAGTTTAATATTTGTCTTATGTCTATAGCCTAATGAGATTAGAGCTATGTTAGTTTCAGCCTCAAAGAGCAATTAGGAAATTAGGATAGCATAGTTAAATCCCTGCAAACTACTAGTAAAAAAAAAAAAACAAACCACACCATCACACAATTCACTTTGCCAAATTTCAGCCCAGAGCCCAATTTATTCCTTTTTTTTTTTTCTTTTTTTGTTTTTTTTAGTAACAGGTTAAATACAGTGAGTGAAAACAGTGTTTAGAATGGAAATGCTGACAAAACCTTTACTGCAGCAGTGTGGACAATGCAGATGAAATAATAGCGAGTATGCCCTTACCACAGCAAGAAAAATGTAAGGAGTTCTGAATTTGCACTGAATGAGCCATTACTTATGTCTGTCACAAAGAAATAAGAGAACTGAACAAAAAAAAAAAAAAATTAAAGATACATTAAGGGTGGTTTTCTTCCCCCCACCCCCTAAAAAAAAAAAAAGAAAAAAATTAAAAATAAAAAAAGATCAGATGTGCCTCAGGCTTTCAAACAATAAAAATAGCAAGATAAAAGAACTAGGTTGCTTCATTGCCTAAAGAAATGGCTAGAATCTTAAAAAGTCTGAAACCTGATTGTGAGAGATTCACTTTATGGGCTGCTAAGAAGGTGCTGACCTTCGTCATCAATAGATTGTCTGAGCCTTTGTGGTATTCAGCAGTAAAGGAAGTGCTTAAAAAGTCATCCTACTGAAAGATGGACTGGAAAAATCTCCAGTTCAGATCTCAGCCTGGCTGTTGTCAGTGCACATGCTCATTCAGAAAGTCCGTCTGTAAACCTAATACAGATAAATCTTGCTTCATTTTTAAGTGATAAAACTGGAGCATCCTCACCTTAGAGATGGATCAGGATATCTAAAATTCAATATAGGTGAAATTATTATAGAGGAGGGCAGCTAATGACCTATCTGTTGTGGGGCTTTGGATGTGCTTTGTTATAGTACTATATTTCTGTCTGTACTAGAGGACATTGAAGGAGTGGGATAACACTTGTACAAGTACCAGTGATATAATTTTCTTATACTCGCTCCATAGTTTTGGGGGCACTTTTGCCTGTTCCAACATTTGCACTGAAATGAACTGCAGCAGATGACTGCCTGTGATTTAATGTGGCCTTCTGGGAGAGAAGGACTGTTATAGATTAAAGAGTTCAGCTCCTACAACTTTCTGGAAAAGTCCCATCACTGTCCAAGTAGTACACCAATACAGCAGTTGTCATGATATGACTCTTCTAGCAGGGTGAATTAGCCATGGTGGTGTATCAGGTTAATACAATGACATGGCTGCTGGTACACAAATGAGCTCACTGAAAGACAGATGGAGTATCTTTGCACAAAATGCATCTGTGTTGCAGATACAGTCATACCCTGGCTGAAAAATGTTGTGATGTTATCCACTAGAAACCATACAGCATTGAACATTCACAGCAGAGAGCACAAAACACAGATGGACCACTAATGACTAGAACTTCTGGGACAGCAGATGAGGTACAGCCAGACCATCCTGAATGAGGCAGCTTGTACCTTATGCTGCAAAAGAGACAAAAAAAAAAATAAAAATAAAAATAAAAATAAAAATTAAAAAAATCAGTGCCAAGAGAAATCTCTACCAGTTCTGGTCAGGGTGTGGGGGGAGGAGAATTATTGCTGTCTCCAGATCCGATGTTTAATGTCTTGAGTCTTAGCAAGGCATTTATGGAGTGTGTTCAATGTCAGAGCATGAGTCCACTTGGACTGCTGTCAAATGGTCAGTGTAAGGAACTGGCTTCAGAGTGAGAAACAATCAGGTCCTCTTTCTGCGTCCTAGCTGCTGTACCATTCCCCTAGACCTCTGAACCATGCAAGGGTATGACCCAGCAGACCAGCACTGGGGAATGCCCCCTTGAACTTGCATCTTTCTCCATGGTCTTTGCCACAAAAGGCAACTGTGATCCTCGGTAGCTTGTGCTGTCTACCGAGATTTTACTGAAGAACTTGTTCTGAAGCACAGCCTCGTGGAATTCATGTCCCAAAGAGCTAGTAACTACTAGAAGAAGTTCCTCTCTCCTGTCTCTCCACTTAAATCACTGCTGAATGTAGCTCAGTGGTTTTGCCTTGGTATATGTAGATTCAAGAAGATAGCACAGCAGTCTTAAGTGTTTAGGAAGGTTTTTCTTCACAGCCATAAGGGCAAAAGCTTTTTTTGCTGAAATCAAAGTTTAAATTCTGAAATAAAAAGGGCTTATCAAAGAAATGGCAAAGAATTTAAGAACTGGCAAAGAATTTAAGAACTAGGTGCAGCTGAAATGTCTGTGTGATTTATCAACAGGTTCTTCTCAAATCTGATGTAAGATAATAAGAGGAGGTGTTGAAAGCAGAATAAAACTAGATACAGAACAAAAAGCATAAGTAATAGGGTTCATAACATTATGCACATAAGGAAATTTACATTATGTCATAGGCAGGTTTCTCTCCCCATGGTTTACCAAGGTATATTAGTAAATAACAGACAAACCCAGAAGATTTTAAAAGAGAAATTATCTTATTTTTCTTTTTCGTCTATTTTTTCTGTCTGTTTGAAGAGATGTGGTTTCCTTACCAATAGACCCAACAAAATACTTATATGTAGCAGCTGGTAGTACCATGGACAGACATCTCTTAGCAAAAATTAACCCTCAAATATGCAGAAAGCTGAACTTGCTCAGAACTAATCAGGAAGATCATTCCTGAGAGCTCACAGATTTTGAGTAGTTTAGTTAGTGACTGTAGCACAAAATTTTCTCATCTATATTCCCCTGCATAGTGATTCATTAGAAGCACTTTACAGTAAATGCTTCCAAAATAAAACCCAGACATTTCAACCAAAGTCTCAGGAAAATACGTAACTGACAAAGATAATGATTGTCTAAAAGCTTTTCCCTGGAAGTGTGGGGTTTCTTTTGGGTTTTGTTTTTTTGGGTTTTTTGTTGGTTTTGTTTTTTTTCTTTTTTTAATTGAAGCAGTGATTAAATTAAGCCTGCCTGAGTTATAATGTGCTTCCATTGCACAACCCAAAGTCATGTTAATCAGCTTGAATACCTAAAAATACAATAGAAGCCATATAAATCCACTTGATACAGCAAATGTTCATATGTGATGAAAAAAATTACTGGTCTGTATGTCACTGTTTGTGCTCTGCTCTTTTTTATTCCATGGCAAATTATTTTTTAGATTCTTAAGACAGTCTCATGGCAAACAATTTAGTCCAGCCAATTTCCCATTCACACTAACATCAACCCCACTTCAGGTACAGGGCTTTGCCTTTGTTAGCTTTCTGATGAGGAGAAGACAGCCAATTGTATCTTGGGCTGCATCCAAAGAAGCGTGACCAACAGGAAGAGGGAGGTGATTCTGCCCCTCTGCTCTGGTGACAATTCACCTGGAGTACTGTGTCCAGCTCTAGAGTCCTCAGTACAGGAAAGAGATGGACCTCTTGGAGATGGTCCAAAGGAGGGCCACAAAAATGGAGGAATCTAGGAGGAAAATCTAGGAGGAAAAGCTGAGAGTTGGGGTTTGAGGTTGTTCAGCCTGGAACAGAGAAGACTCTGGGGAGACCTTATTGCAGCCTTTCAGTTCTTAAAAGGGGCCTATAAGAGAGATGGGGAGAGAGTTTTTAGCAGGGCCCTGTTGCAACAGGACAAGGTTTTAAGCTAAAAGAGGGAAGATTCTGGATGGATGTGAGAGAGAAAATTTTTTACAGTGATGGTAAAATCCTGGCACAGGTTGCCCACAGAGGTGGTGGATGCACCATCCCTGGAGACATTTCAAGGCCAGGCTGGGTGTGGTTCTGGGCAACCTGATCTAGTTGAAGAAGTCCCTGCTCATTGCAAGGGCGTTGGACTAGATGACCTTTGAAGGCTCCTTCCAACCCAAACTATTCCATCATTCTCTGATTCCATGATTCTAACTCTGCTTGAGGACTCCTTGGTACTATATGGCTGCTTAGAGGAAAATTCCTGTAAACTTGTATATGATGTAGATACTTAAATCTCATTTTCTAGAGTTCTATAGGGCCTTCACTGAACAGGCCACCCAAAAGGCTGTGGAAGTCCTGTGTTCTCCCTCCAGAACATGGTATACCCATACATTGCAGGGCCACATGGAGGTCCATCACAGGTCCCATATGTGACAGTTACATTGGCATGACATGGCACTAGGATCATCAAGATCATACCCTCAGCTGGGGCTGGGGCTGGCTGGAGTATCTGCTCTGCCACACAGTGAAGATAAATTATGATTTCCTAAATTACCTAGTGCTGAAGCCAGCACTGTAAAACACAGCTTCCAATCTTTAGGCTATGCTATGGTTTGTTTTAAAAGGGATTGAATGTCTTACAAACAGGTAAAATTGCTGCCAGATGCAAGTACATTAGCCTTTTCCAGCTGCTTTACTGCTGCCATTCAAAATAGCCTGCTATGAATATGATTCCTTTGAGCTCTATTCTGACAAGTGCAGAGCGCTATCTGAGGGAAGGGCCGGTGGTTTTCCATCCCCACTGAACTCAGTAGGAGTTGTGATTGCTCAGCACATTGCTAAAAAAGTCTGCTGAAATTACCTTAAATGACACAATTATCCCCTCACCTCTTGCTCCTTCTCTTTCAGTCGTGGAAGGAGGAGTAAGTTTCTCCACAGGCAGTTCTGCTGCAGTAAAGTTTTCAGCCTGGAGATGGCGAATGTCGGAATCAACAAGTTCCCTGCTTCTGGACTGGTGACAGTCCTGGCTGCAGTCTGGTTTAGCCAGGGAGGAGGTGCGAAACATGGCAAAGATTCGAAACCCTATTTACACTAACAGTATCAGCTTCTCATATGGCCTAAAATGGCTTCACCTCTTCCCTTTACCACTTTCTACAAATTTCTGCCCATTGCCTAATTCCCACTATCCTAAACAACAAAGGTTCACTATACCACAGCATGCAGCTTTTACCCATGCAGTGAGGGCCATAGTGTAGGGCCCTCACTAAAAGTCTACAAGTTGCCTATTGTTTTAAATCTGTTTCTGGCTGAACAGAAATGGATTTATTATGTATCTTTGCTTTGTACAATCTGTACCTGTAGTTAAGTATGTTAAGCTGGTGCTGAAGTATGGAAGTCTGTTGAACAATAACACAGTGTTAAAGACTGAGTGCTTGTGCTTAACAAACCATTCTGAAAGACGATCATCATTAAAGCTATTTACAGTTATACTCGTCATAATTGATGGAAAACCTGGAGAAGACAATTACCTGTGCCTTCCACTTTTCCACTCTGAAGTCAGCAGAAGCAGATGAAAATCAACATTTCTTTTGAAACAGAGCAGAGTTATGAGTTTACAATGCAGGTTAAGTCACCTTCCCTATTGTATAGGAACTGGTGTTGAGAAAAGTCTTATTAACCTGATTCTGCACCTTGTTTTACAAGATTGAATCCACTACTGGCTCCCTAAACTGAGAATTAGGGTGTTAACTCTGAGGGAAGGGATGGTTCTTAGCAGCAACACGCCAGCGTCCCTTGTAGACAGTTCAATAAGAAAAGGCTTTGAAACCCAAATCAAGATCTGAATTTGGCTCGAATACAGCTGGAACCCCACTTGGAGCTCATGCCCCTCTGGAATATATTCACTCTGCCTGATTTTTTAATACCCCTCTCTGACCTCAGCAACTGTGCTTTCCAGCTTTCAAGAATCAGAACACAGTGATTTTTTTGCAGTGTGTAACAACTTACAATGTAAGTCAATCAGTCACACGGTTTTGGTTGGGTTTTTTTTTTCTTTTGCTTAAAAGCCAGATTTTCCCTTCTTGTTGCGGATATAAAACTGGTACACTGACGTTATTTTGCATATACAAACATCCATTATCAAGAGTTTAAGGGGCTTAAACTTTTACACAGGAAACAAAGTAATTACAGCACGTCTAATATTCTATGTACTACCTATTGAAGGGTTTCCTCTCATAATAGTGCCCACAGTAGTGGAGAAGGCATTAGGATGCTTTTTTTGGCTTTGGAACTTTTGAGTATTCTTAACTATTCTACATTTTCTCCTAGGACTCTTTCTTTGCTCAAGTTATGGCATCAGAAAGCGACATTGACTTCCAAAAAAAAAATCTTGTAATCACAAATGGCAAGAATGAAAACTCTCAGCAAATGCATAGTAGTAAGCAGTTAAATGTAGCAGCAAACAAATTGAATGATATTCCCGAAGCACTGCAAGAGGTCAAAAAACACCTTGGAGGTACAGCAGAAGAAAATATAATGGAGAAAATAAAAAAGGCAGAGAAAAAGAATAAAAACCAGAACAATGATGTAGACAGAGCAAGCCATAAATGGAAATCAGAAAATAATGAAAAACTAGCTGTGCAAACAGAAGAAACAACATTAGAGACTGGCAATCCGTTAATGCTGACAGCTCTGTCTCATATTCCTCTGAAAAGCCTAAGTGACATAGAAACGAAGTTGGTCTACATTGATGAGGATGACATCTTCCTTGAGTTTGATGAGCCCATGGTGCCTACCAGCACACAATCAGGGTGTCATGATTCTGAACAAGCACATGCTCTGAACATACCTGACAGCAGCGCTTTGCCCCATATCAACAAACAGCTTCAGATGACCCTCCAGGAAGCCAGGACTTGCTACGGACAGAAGAACTATGCAGCAGCAGTGGAGCAGTTATCAACAGCAATGGAGGTATGGGGTTAAAGAAATACGATCACCATAGCAAAGTAAATGAAAGGCTGTCATTGTACTAACTGGGTGTAATAATATCAAAGCAAACAAGGAGCACAAACCTGGGATGGATACAGTTTAATAAAACCCTGAGATGTAATTTCCCATGAAATCTGAAAATTAAAAGCTAAAAATAAATCGTAGAAGGAGGGTGGCACTGGACTGAACCAGAAATCTCAGCTGATCTTGTATTTTTCTTTAAGTCTTCAACAGTATTTATGTATGGAGGAAATGTAAGTCTCATAGTGTGGGGAGGTCAGGAGGGGAATATCTTTTTAATCCCAGCTCTATCAGGGACAAGTAATACCTCAATAATCAGGGGAGTCTCCACTCTATCCCAGCTGTCTATGCACTACTGGGTTAAGTGTTTAATCATGCATTCTGATTCCTTTTTTTCTCTAAAGCCAGAAAATGGCCACTGGATCTGTGTGGAAATCCTTTTCTTTCCACATGAGAAAGGACCGGTCCAGTAGAAAACAACCTCCTCTGGACACAAACAGCTTTCTCTTCAGCAGCTATGAGTCCAAAAGCTGGGGGTTTTGTGGAAAGAAAGTCTTCTTGCCTGCCTGAGATACTAAAGAAATGATATGACCTTGGCTATGATTTTTGAAACTAATCTGCAATTTTCATGACTTTCTGCCTTTAAGTGCTCAAACTTGAGCTGTCTTAAACACATACGTTCTTCACTAAGCAGTTGGTTTTATGTTTTCAAAAGCTGAGCCCTTTCCAGTTTCAGGCTGAGCCCCCAAAAGGATGTATCTAAAGGCCTTTGACATTTTTAAAATCTTAAGCCAGCCTTGAGTTTTATCAGTATAATATGAAAGGAATAAAAGAGGGAGTTCCTAACACTCTGGCAAGGTTGAAATTAATTTCATGGGGGGAGGGAAGAGAAAGGAAGTGTAGGAAAGCCCAGCAGGTGGGTCACAGTTATATCCACCAGCCTCCTGTTTCCTGGAAGCCAAAGCTAGAAGCATTTACAGTAAAACTGATTTTTCGAAGTTGTGTCATTATTCCCAGATTTCTCTAGTGCTGCTAATCTCAGTTAATTATATTGGAAATCGCTTGTATTATGACCATGTAATTCATGATGTGCCAGTAGAAGTCATGGTTAATAATAATCACATAATAGGCAAGGACTTAGACGTAATCAGATTTTAGTTACCCTGTCGTGTTTCCATAATGCTGTTGTAAAATCTACGTAATCACAAAAAAGCACCAGTTATTTAAACATTTTTTATCAGATTGATGTACAGTATCTTTCTCTCTCTTTTTTAAACAATGTAAGATAACAAAAATTGGATTACAGTTGCTGGGAACAGACTATGATAAACTGTTTGCTTGTGTGCAGAATGAAATTTAATAATGGCTTCAGCATCTCAATTTTTAGTAATGTTAAACTGTTCAATAGTAGCATTCTGCAGCCAAAGGCTGATTTCAAAGCGGTAGGATTGCAGCATTCTGAAAACTGTATCTCCACAAGCACAGCTGTCCTATAAACCTTCAAAGATACCCTATATCCTCACAATTAACCCAGATGCTAACATTTACTGTGCAGATGAGGGCTTGACTTTTTCTGTGATACATGATGCAAAAAGCCACTCTTAGTAGCCGTAAGGATTTTAAAGGGCAGTGTCTGCTTCTCACAATAGAGAGAGACACTTCCTGCTTTACAGGAATATGACTGGTGATTAGAATAGAGGACTTGCAAGCTAAACTCTCTGGACTCTAATGTTTTATCTCCACTCTGACCCCAATTACTTCAGCTGTACACTTGACATGCTGAGAAAGAGTCCAACTACTACACTTGTTTCAGCACTGTACTACCAAACTTAATTCAAAAGCATTTATGAAACACTAATTTACAGTTAAAAAACAAATATCGTATTCCTTCTTTTTTCTACAATACCAAAGGCATTTTATTTTTAAAACAATAAGTATTATAGAAGTGAGTGAGTAGAATTAGTAACTGCCATACGTTTTAGGATTTCCCTTCCTCCCCATTCAGAAATGAGCTGTGGTGGTGACAAAAGTACTTGTCAATTGACACGAAAGGAGTACCTGCCGCCTCCTAAGAGGAAATGGAAAAGCTAGCTAATAGACATCCTGGTGAAAGATTAAGTAGAGGTTAAAGAATTCCTTCCTGGGATTGTGGACATAGTGATTGGGAAATCACAGAATTATAGGGCTGGAGCTCCTCAGCAGCCTCTTAATCCAGCTCTTCTCAGAAGTAAAAACCAGAATATCCCTGAAAGACACTTCTGTGTTTTTCACAAAAGCATCTTTCACAGACTTCATGTCTATATTAGCAAGCTGATAGGAAGTTTTTCCGTGTCTTCCATGCTGCAAAACAGCTTATAATGGTTTTTTGTATCCTTATTTGACATGAAGAGCAATTACCAACCTATTCTCCTTGCACTTGCAACCTCTTGCCATATCTCTTTTTCAGTCTTCCCTAAATTAAATAAATTTAATCCCCTTAGTATTTCCTCCCAGGTCATGCATTCTGAACTTCAATATCTTTTTTGTTGCAATGTCTCTAATTTGCCTACTTACTTGGATTTCTCTGCACAAATTGGAGATGGTGCAGAGAAACCCAGCAAACTTAAGATGCTGAGATTGAAACTGTGGTGGATTTGCCCATTGCTTTTTGAAGAAATAAACAAAGATTCCTCTGCACTTCACATGGGTGAAGAAACGTGTGATATGTAATAAGCTCAAAGTTATGGTTTATGTTTACAAAAATTTACAGATTTTTTCAGATTTAAGGAAAGTAAGGCTTGAGCCTGACATTGCAACATTTTGAGTAAGAGATCTTGATACAGAAAAGCATGTGCATAGCATTAAATTTGAATATTATTATAGCTAGTGCTACCTTACATACTGCAGACATCATACATTTGGCTCTTCTTTAAGCCAAAATTTTTTCTCTAGATCCATCTATTTATGTTGCATTGTCATTCTTTTATATCATGTCATTTTTCAGATATGCAAATAACAGGCAGTTCTGAAAGTCTAGCACTGAAATTATTGGATTTAAAATCATTAATCAGAAAGGAAAATTGAAATGCTTGTTCGATTTAGAGACTTTTATATGTTAGCCAGCATGCTGCTGATTACCACAGACATCAGGAAGGCAATGTTATCAGGAGAACTGGTGGCTTCTCACTATTTCTGCACTATTTAGCTACCATTAAATTAATCAGGAGGGACTTAGCATTAGTCAGCTGCGTTATAGTTGGCCTGGGAGAGGAAAAAATAATGCTCCCTTGGAGAACTCTCATCATTACAGCATAAGAATTAAGTACTTTATGTTGCTGGTGAGGAAAATAGCTGCAGAAATTGCAGCAATAGACTTTGCTCTTCTACTTCCTAGCTCAATAATACAGTATGTTATATATACTACATTGAGAAACGCGAAATTTCCCTAGATTTTTGGCATCCGTCTGTTGGAACATAGGGAAATAGGACTCAAACATCTGGACTGGGATATGAAGGGTATGAGAAATCACTCTTTCGGTTAAACCCTCAGTGGAAACCATATACATGTATCTATAAAATCTCTAGCCAATTAGTAACATCTTAGCTACAAAATAACATTAAACCTTTATGAGGATTGAAAGATCTTGTCTCAAACTAATCTCCTAATATCAGAGAGCATAAAAGATTGCAGAAACATCCACCTGTTTAAAACCTGTACAAATTTAAATTTCAGACCCTATTGTTCTGAAAATAACCCTTCCCTGTGATTAAAAACTAAATGAGAAGAGTTCATGACTGCTGTGCACAGGAAGAAGCCCACAGTATCCTGGCACACAGCTTTTAGTGTAGAATATCTGAGACATGAAATGAATCCCATGAGTGAGGTGAAGGCCTCAAACAGCATGTGATTGATTTACAGGAGTGCTGTTGTGGTGCCTCCATAACCTGGAATACCTCCATTTTCCACAGGTGGCTATTATGGGCACCATTCCTATGGCAGGGAGATAAGTATTAGTGGCTTTTTTTTTTTTTTTTGCGCACCTTGAGTTTCTAGATTAACCTTTCCTGTGCAACAATATCTTCCATGCAACAATATCTGCAAAAAGCTAATATTTTGAAAGCGGCCATGGCACTCCTTCCTTGTGGACATAATTACATACCAATATAGAGTTAGGCAGCATGGTTCAACCAAGCCTTCCATCAGTTTCATCATACGAGAAGCAAAAAAATAAGTATTTCTTATATCAATACCCTTGTGAAAAGAGGTACATCTTAAGCAGTGTATCCACTGGCAAAGCACATGAAAAAGCACAGGTGGCTTGCTTTGAGTCATTGCTGCA